TAAAATATTTTTTAAGTTTGTGATAAAATGAATAAAATTTGATCATCTTTGGAGCTGTAGTGTTGGGAATATGGTTTTTTCTTTCACAACAACCGATCGTTTAAAAAAAAAATATTATAAAACATATTATACAATATAGATTTTTAAACAAATAAATGAACATAAACTTACAACCCACACAATGAATGAATAAATAATTTTATGGAATGGCAATTTAATAATTTATAGTGTTCAGAAGCAGTGATTAGAAATACATGTGCTTATTTAGTCCATGCACACATCATTCTGTATGAACGTTAACTGACGTGTTCATCATTGACTTCTGTGAGTGCCTGATGAAACAACACTGCCTACTGATTGTGGTGGTATTCTGAGCGGCTCGTCTTTGGAAATGATCCGTTGCGCATGCATCATGGCATTGCATTTTCTATGGAATCGTAGGCTGATGATTATCAGTGTGCCTGGTTTTAGACAACTTTACGCATTCAGAATGAGATATTTTCTTGCTCCAAATGTTTAAAAAGGCAGTTATCTTACAATTCATAAAAACCACATTATTAGTTTGAAAAAATAATTTAAACCTAGTTCCTTCGGTATAAGCCTGTTCCCCCTTGATCACAAAATTGGGCCGATTTTGGGGGTGTGGACTTACATGTATACCCAGTGAATCCCCTTTCAATCAGAAGGCAATTTTCAGCTTAAATTCAAAGCCAGTATTTGTTGAAGTCAGCAGAGCTACTTATTCACATCATATCCTTGGCTTTTACCCGAGGAAAGGCTGGTGGGGTTATTATACCCAAAGTGGACTTATTATACCCAATGAACTACAGAGTTTTAACAATTTTTGTAGTCATCATCGCTTCACATTAATTGACCTTTTTAAAATATGCACTGGTATTTATATATTATATATTTCATTATATTGTATTTTATTCATCATAAAAAGTGGAGGTCTTCATCACAGTAAACTTGCTTTACAACAGACCTTTCTGCTAACAGCCGTCCCTTGGATATTATTGCTAAGCACCCACAAGAGGACAGTATAAAAACACACACAAACACGTGCGTATTTGTGGTACAGTTCTGATTGGTCAGTTGTGAAGTTTGATTGACACTCCAGAAAAGTCCATTAAGCAATTCTGTCAGGTGTTTCTGCTGACTTTAGTTTAAAATTTTTGTTTGTAAAGTTTAATTACTTTGTCAAATTTGTATCTTCCATGTTTATGAGAAAGTAAATGATACAATATATTTTGAGTGCATTTTAACTCTATCATGCGTAAACGCTTACATCCTAAACTCATCACAATCTGGCTTCAGGAACTCTTATTTATTTATTACATTATTAATAATAATAACAATGACAAAGCAACTGCTACTATAAGCTTGTAAATTAAATGTGATGGATTACATCAATGGTAATTATCAAACTGTGATTCCCAAGATACAGCTTGGCAAAGCTCTTTTTAATATTAAGATAAAGATATGTGCACACTATTTCATTTTCTGTGATAAATATGATTTGTCCATATTTGGGCATGATGATAGGATAAGAGTATTTCAGTGTGAATCACACCAAGAATAACCCACTAAGTCCAAATACTTATTTCCAGTGGGGTCCTTCTGGTGGTGAATTGGACAGTACACTGTGAGACAATCCCCTACTCTTTCACGAAGAATGTACTACGTTCTTTAACGTGCACATGGGACATATTGCACACAGGACCAATGGCATTACGTCTCATTCGAAAGACGGTGAGCTATCGTACTGGCTACCACCAGTTCAGCTGACTGAGCTAAGCTGCTATATCATACCTAACAAAAACAAATTTACACATAGGTCCTATTTGTCAAAAGGAATACTGTACTTGATAGTGTCAACTGAGCTTTACTAAGATGTTTTTAAATCATACCGAGTTGAGGGGCAGAGTGGAAAGGCAAGGGTGCCATTAACTACAGGTTTAACATCAGTGCTGCTTAGAGACTGTCCTCATCAAGGATTCAGTTCTGAAAAGTAGGGGTTATACCTCAATAATCTGGTTCATTTCAGCCAAATGTCATTGTGAAATGATGTGAACATAAAAATACTAAATGCCTCTTTTGTCACATGGTCAATCACAGAAAATGCCCATACACAATCCAGCACAATAATGCTGTGAGTTGTGAGTTATTCTATTACCTTTACTTCTACATTTATAATGATAATACCTAGGCTAACAGATGACTCAAGCTAGGCTACTGACAGCTTTGCACTAATATATCAGTACAATAAAACTATAAAACACTATTTTTGAATTGCTTTCTTTAATTTAATTTATGGCTCATAATATATATTCCTTGAAAATTAGGACAAATTTAAATACTGTTGCTATGTATAAATTAATCTAATTCAATACATAAAATTTAAAGCCCCATTCCTGCCAGAATTTCAATAAAAAAAAGAATTTTTTAAAGAAAAAAAGCATATGCATTATTCTAATTACTATAAATCATGGAAAAATATTGGCATAAATATTGGTTTTATGCAAAAGAATAAAAAAAAAAAAAGAAACACTGACTATTACTCATAGGAGATTAAAATTTTCTCAAAAAATTCTTTGTTACTAGGCAAATTCTATTGGGGTCCTTCTGGATACCCTACCACTTTCAAAGTTCATTTTATGCATGCGACTTTGGTCCTTAAGCGTGAGAGCGTGAGATAGACACAGAATGCGTGACACTTGGTAGGTCTGCTCCAGCTGAAACACAAGGACAGCAGCTATTGGAATTGGTCCAGGGACCAAAGATCCGAAAAGTATCTCAGTGCAAACACGGGAGCCTGCCCTCAAGTGATTCAATGTTATATTTGTCTGGTCAAATCTTGATTTGCATAATTTAAATACTCTTCAGTAAACACTACATAGATTAGTAAAATATAAATCCACTATAGTACTGCTCAATCTAATAATCTACCAATTGAAATAAGGTTAAATGGAATCAATAAGAGCTTCTAAAATGCCATTAATAATCATACTAAAACAAAATGACATACCATAAACACTGTATGCTGGCATGAATATGGCAAACACAAACTGAAACTGAGTTTGGCTAAATGAAGTACAGAGACCAGTCGATGTTTAGACAAAGCGGGAAAAAATTATCAACAAGTCAATTAATTTCTATGAGATAGGCCTTATTCGACTGGTCTTCATTGAATAGCATGCAGTAGCCTCTGCTACTTGGACATCGGATTCAATTCTAGCCACCAAGCACCAGGCTAGTAAGGCGAGACTTTTTTTATACCTTGTTTCGTGAACCCACCGCTCTCCAATATTGATAATTTCTAATAAAAACTAAATTTATTTTTGGCCAATTAGCACACCCGCCGCCGCAAAAAACTGTAAATTTTAGAAAAAAATAAAAATAAAATTTTTTTTTTATTACGCCTGTCACTGCCTTGAAATCTCCAAAAATAAGATATGTATATTTCTTCCTAATTATATAAATTTAAAGCATTTAACCATCCCATTACTACACTGTTTACATTTAACAATAAAATTTTATTTTTATTGTATCCTCCGTCAGAATGTTTTGGCAAAACTATTTGCTAAACAAGAAAATAATTTTTTTTTTTTTCCCCGCCCGCCTCTGACGATCAAGGGATAAACAAAAGTCTGGCCTAATCTGGAGAATGTGGGTTTGATTCCTTCCTGAATTACTTGCAAGATTTTTTCACAAGTATTTGGCAATGTACTCAGTGTTTAGTATAACGTATCATAATCAGGTAGGGCACAACATCTTTCCTAGATTCATGTACTCATTTTATCTATAAAATATTTACTTGTTCACTGTCGCAATTCATAAAATAATCTTTCAATTTTTTTTTGCTGCTGTAGAAAAATAAATTGCTATAATAATACCGAAGCCTGCAGCAATTCTTTGCAGATGAAGCTATTTTGATAAATTCAACCCCTGATCTTATTTAAACAAATGATTTTGTCAGTATGTTGTAGAATGTCTTACATACCGTAGTCATATTTGTTTTGCAAATATTGAGTGATGAGATCCCTAATATCGAAATACTTATCAGGAAGGCAATGAAACATTCATTAAGAGTTCATAAAAAATTATTACATCAACACTTTTTCACCGTACTGCTATATTGCCTACACAATTAAAATATACAAAGAACAGATTATTAGATAGTATAAAAATTGTAAAAAATATTAGTGCTGGAGCAATGGCTATGGTAGCAGCAAACAGCAATAGCACACTCCCTGAGCCTCATAAAGAGACTTGGTTTAGAAAAAGCATTGTCCATTCTGTAATTGGCAAGTTACTTACTGGTGGATATGAATGAAATACAAATAGAAAAGTAGCAAAGACAGAAAAGGCCTCATTATGCAAAATGAATAGCCAGTAGTAATAAACCGTAGTTTTACGAGTATGAAAAATAAAATGAAACTGAAATATAGCTATATATGGCTCTTATATAACAAGTAATAGATATCATCAACAGTACATAAATTAATTACCTCAATCTACTATAAGAGCTGAATATTTAATCAGACAAATACAATTGGAAAATCAATATTATACAGATGCATAGGACCCTTGATAGGAAGTAAGTTTTCACACTACACATAGGTTTTGATTTTTTTTTACAACAATTAATATTCATAATTCTAGAATTATAACAGCTGTGTCTGCCAAATGGTAATACCAACAGCTTTTACAATTTTCAATCCTATAGCAGCGGCGGATCTAGAAAAAAATCTAGGTAGGGCCATGTGTCATGAGAAGCATTGTTCCTGGGTTGGGGAGGGGGGATGGTGTGGTATAGTTGATCGTAAAATAAAAAAAGTACACAAATGTTATGAAGGTATTATGCAACGCTTTCAATACATTTTCTTTTCTCTCTCCCTTCCCCACTGGAGAAAACTGGGTCAAAGTAAAAACTTTCCAGAAGATCTAGTCTTAATTGTGTTCATATTAGATAAATTTTAGTCAAACTAACCATGTACCTGATTATTATAACCAGAAAAATCCAGTGTGAAAAACCTGCTTTAACACATTCTCCTCGGTCTAATTATGCGGCAAAGTTAACTGATAAACGTTGGCGTGGAAGAATAATCAACTTAATTTTAGCTAGAAGAAAAAGACAAATGCGAACTGCACAACTTAGTTAAATCTTTCTCAGCAGATGCTTCAATTGCATCGCTAAACTTTTCACAGAATGTATCTATAATTAGACTGATCATGCCTGTGCACAATTTTATAATCTGCAATCCTACTGCATATTTAAATTCAAGTGTAAACAGCAGTTGGAAATGACCAAGATAGAATTACCAATCCAATGCAAACACAGCTTTTGTGCTAAATCTAAATTTCTCTTGGTAAGAAATTAAGAAAAAAATGTATGTGTTATGTGTGGTAATGTATGTATGTATGTGTGTTTATATATATAATTTTGAAATGTGATGAATATTGAAATATTTGATAACTTATATTTTGGGTCCTAAAAGAAAAAAAAATATTAATGCATTACTTAGAAATTAATACAAGTTAAAAGATGCATTGAAAAAAAATTAGTCAGCCAGCCATTGTGGACTGACCCATTGTAAGTGCAATTGTAATGTTTTAATTTTTATTGCATAGATGACAGAAAAAAATTTAAAAAAAAAGAACAAAAAGAGATAGAAGTAAAGGTGTGAGAAATTCCCAAGAAAGAGAAAAAAAATTTCTCTTGGCAAATTTTACTGGAATATATGGTTACCAATGATTAAGGCATATTTATAAAAGTAGCCCCTAATTATCCCCTTATATTGTTTCCGCAAAGATACACGTTGGAAGAAGCCCCTTCCAGAAGATCTGATTAAATGAGCTGTCACAATTCTAATTATATTTTGCTGTGTGTGGTGATACCCATTGTAAGCTGACTTCCAGGAGACTATGAATATTTACTACAGTATTAAACACATCCAAATATTACGAATTTGAGCAGATTTTGACTTGCAAGAGTGTGTGAGGCCGTCCTGATGTCCAGATTACTCATGTGACTAGTGAGAATCTTAGAATCCCTGAAGAGGATAAATTTAAGTCTACCTTCTTATATTTGATAGTTGTAAACATACACTTACAATACACTGTGTATATTAAAGTATTATCCAATACAGCTGTCAAATATTTCCATCATTCTTTCTTTTATTTATACTGAATATTGAAAACCAATTTAAACTTTATATTGCACTTGAAATGTAGGGTATGTACATTTTCCATGTACTGTACAGATTCAAATAAATGTTCTAATTAAATAATTCATGAAAACAGTTGAATTCCATATTTAATACTGTAAATTAGTTTTCCAAATTAGCAATAAAAAAAAGTAAAAATTGAAAATGATGTAATTTGAGTACGACTAAATTGATGTTTCAATATTTGCTTTTAAAATGAAAAATCACTTTACTACTCTCCGAGTATTATAGCTGCAAGATTCTGACATAAATTCTAGTATATAAACTAAGATTTTCCACAGCTGCTTCTTAATAGAGTTAGAAAATGCAGTTATTGTGAAACAAATAAAAACTGTACATAAAAAAAGTACAAAAATAATGTTAAGATAAACATAATTACTAAATAAAATAAGAATTATGTGAGAATGTAACAATTATGTGGGAATGTTATGAGAATAAGAGAAAATATTTAATTTATGAGCCTGAAAATGATGGGAGAAATATAGAATATTGTGAAGGCAATGCAATAATGAAGAGAAAATAAATGAATAGTAAAATGAAACATGTGAGAACCTACCAGAGCACCTTTCCCCTGTGTTTCGTGTATCCCAGCATCAGTAAGTCTATTTGAACATGGGACCTGCAAAAAAAATGGGTTTCAATATAAATACAGGTGTATGCAAATTTTAAGAAAACACTATACAAAATATCATAATTACAATGGCTATAAAAGAATTTATATATTTATATAATAATATTATATGTAATATATTACAC